AGGCAACTATGGACAACCATGGACAAGTATGGGCAACCACTGACAACCATGGGCAACTATGGGCAACTATAGACAACTATGGGCAACTGTGGACAAGTATGGGCAACTATGGGAAACTGCAACTATGGACAACTATGGGCAACTATAGACAATTATGGGCAACTATGGACAACTATGGACAACAATGGGAAACTGCAACTATGGACAACTATGGACAACTATGGGCAACTATGGACAACTATGGACAACTATGGGCAACTTTGGACATTTACAGGCAACTATGGACAACTATGGAAATTATGGACAACTATGGGCAACTATACTGGTCCAGATGACATGAATTAACCTTTTTTGTTATAAGCAACTATGGACGCGTATGGACAACTATGGACATCAAAGTCAGAGTCAGAGATTCTTTATTGTCATTCGCAACTCATGTGGTACATGTGGTGAAGCGAAATTATGTACACAGGGTCCCCAGTTACATCCAACAATAAAATGTAAAAGAAAAACAATGATAACATCTTAGATATGAACTAAGAAAAACATCAACTAAATATACACTAAGCACTAATAGCATAAAAACATTACGTCGAACATCTATGGGTGCATCAGTGATGAACTGAAAAAATGTAATACATCAAGACAATTTAAAACGTATATTTTAAATTATTATAATCAATCAATAAGTACAACAGTGAGTGGAAAAAGGAGAGAAGTGGAAAAAAATCAGTTCAAACTGGAATTATTTGGAAACCTGAAAAATGATATAAACTGAAAAATTATATAAACTGAAATATGATATAAACTGAAAAATTATATAAATTGAAAAATGATATAGCTTTTCTTAATTTTTTTTTAAATATTGAACAGAACAAGAAAGGCTGTTGTTCCCAACATGAAAAAAAATTCCATTGATTTGAGAAACACAATATCTGAACATTTTAAAGGCATATAAATAGATTTTAAAGCCGTATACACAGATTATTTTTATGTTTGTTATACAAGGCTTTTTGTATTTTTCTGATAATGTTTTTGAAATTTAATTATTGGGTCTGGATTTATTTTAAACGCATTTTCTCACCTTTAACAACTTTAACAGTTTAGCATTTATGGCCTTACAAGAAAGCTGAATGCAAACATTTCACATACAATAATTCTCCAACACTACAAAATACCAACAGATTAGGATTATTTAGATTACTTTTTTAATATGAGCTATTTTTGAGTTAATAATCTATAATCACCTAAAAATATAGTTTCATAAACTCTTCAATTTCAACTCCACCTAATCTGAGAGTTATATCCAAATAGCTACAAACACCATTAAACATTTATTTTATTTTCATTACCAAACAACTTATTACTATCAAACCATTTTTAAACCAAAGTTTAATTTGTTACAGTTTTAATCTTTTTTATCTACTGTTGAGATAAATGTAAAAATTATACTCATTAGATTAGAGACTAACCAACAAGAACACAAACAATTAATTTAATCATTTTAATAGAAACACTTCATTGAATCACTTCTTTGTTGTTTGTGAATTATGAGGCTACCAGCAGAGAACATTAGCCTAACTTTGCATAAACACTGAAAACAGGGTGGAAATTTGGTTATGCTTTTTCCAGCATCTAGGAAAACAGCGTTATTAGTACATATCAACATTAATTCATCAGCTATGCAGCTATAGATCATAATCCATCACATTATGTTCCAATATTGATAGCTTTGGCTTCCAAAAGGCAAAAGACGAAATGCAACTTTCAAAGCTTCTAACACACATTTAGTGAATTTATAAATGTGATGTTAATGCTAATAGCTGGACTTTAATGCTTGTTTTTATTGTTTCCAAACCTAGAATTAACTTCACTTAGTTATCCCCAGACAGCCTAATATGGGATGATCAAACCAGTAGTCTCAACAACTCCCATTAAATGAGTGAGCATTCTTGAGATTTTTACACTTATATGTTTAAAACAGGGGTTCCCAAACCTGGTCCTTGAGGAACACCATCCTGCACGTTTTAGTGGTTTCCCTGCTCCAACACACCTGATTCAGTTCTTTAAATACTTCCTCATGTTCTGCAGAATATCACCTTTTTATTAAAAATCAGGTGTGTCAGAGCGGAGAAACAACTAAAAACATGCAGGATGGTGTTCCTCAAGGACCAGGGTTGGGAACCCCTGGTTTAAAATGTTAAACTCTTTTTTACAAACAAACAAACAAAAAAAACTTGAATTTACCAGCAAGGTGCATACCTTTGCCCACATTGAAGCAAAAAGGCTCTTCACGTTCTCGACTGCAGTCAAATTTCTTCCCAGAGAGCAGTTTTCCAGTGTAGTGTACAGTGACTTTGTCCCCGATCATTGGACGGTCCCCATCGACCCCCTGATGCTTCACAACCTGCACACAGACAAAACACTGTCCACTTAGCAAAGATGTCCAATAAAGTGGCAAAGACAAACTGAAGAAAACCAAAGCAATGAACTGGATCACCTTGATGACTCCTTGGTCTTTATTTGGCGTCACATCGATGCCCTTTGCAGTAAACGCAGCTGCTGAATGGTCGTCCATGGGTAAAAACGGATCTGTGGTCATTTCGGCTCTATATGGTCATCACACGAGAACACTGAAAGATGGAAACAACAAGCGAAAGCAATACTAAATAAACATCCTCATATTTTTCCTTTAAATAAAAAACAGGCATTTTATGGAATAGGGTTTGAAAGCTTGTACTGTCTCAAGCTGTAACGGTCTCCATAGACACTGCCGTGACTACATGTTTTTTTTTTCCATTACATAACCTGCAGCTATCAGGGACACGTGTTCAAAATCTATGCATTGTACTGGAAAAACGCTTAAAGTTTCATTGGAAAAGCTCCATTTGCACTGATTGTATGAGAAGTCCAGCTGTAACACATCGCCTGATTCCTGCACAAATGAGGTGATTACATAACTGTAAGTGTTGCTTTCTTTCCTCTATGGTCAATACATTACCTCTGTGCACTTCGACAAACCCTGTACGATGTCTGAACATTTCTCTGGCACTAAAATTACATCTGCACAACAGCTGGGCCACATTCAGACGTCTCCTCTGCTCATTTCAACAAGACATGAAGTCTTCTTTCTGAGAGCATCATCCTCGCGGAGAAAGTGTGGGTCTGACCACACTCTCCCGCTCTGTGCTGATAAAAAGCTGCGCCATCACAAAGTCTGGTATTCTGGAGATTGATCAATACGCTGATAGGACATCTTGTCAAGAGTTGTGGCTGCTTACAGTTTGTCTTTTATGATCTGAGGAGGTTGTAATACAGCTCGTATGGTGCATCCTTTGTGCTTTTTATTCATATGTTTAAAAGATTTAGCAAATGAATAAAATAAGTAAATATTTTGATCTGTTCTCATAATTGTTGTATGTTTATTTATAATTTTTATTCAATTCAATTCAATCCAGTTTATTTATAAAGCGCCAAGTCACAACAGAAGTCGTCTCAGGGCACTGAACAGTAACATTCATATATAAAAATAAGTTAATAACATTAATTTTCTGAGGAGTAGACTGCTTTGAATTTAACTCCATCCCAGACTCTCATCTTGAACAAGCATGAAGGCAACAGTGGAAAGGAAAAACTCCCTCATGAGGAAGAAACCTTTAGCAGAACCAGGCTCAGGACAAGCGGCCATTTGCTTCGACCAGCTGGGTTTGAGAGGACAGGAAGGAGGAACAGATACACAATGGCAGGTCGAGAATCACATGTTGACTAAGAAATAAATTTTATGAATGAAATAAAGAAAGCAATCAAATGAAAACTATGCATTTGTAATAATTCATAATAAGAAATGAGGTCAATTTATCCTCCAGTAGTCTAATCCTAATGGCAGCATAACAAGCCAACCCTATAGGATTTATCGAAAGGAAAGTCTTAAGCCCAGTTTTAAAACTGGACAATATGTTAGTCTCATGGACAGAAACTAGAAGTTGGTTCCACAAGAGAGGAGCCTGATAACTGAAAGATCTTCCTCCCATTCTACTCCAGCTCTAGGAAACACAAGTAAACCTGCAATCTGAGAGTGAAGTGCTCTGTTGGGGGACAATAAGATCTGCAATATAAGATGGAGCTAGGTTGTTGAGGGCTTTGTAGGCTAGAAGGAAGATTTTGAATATTATTCTGAATTTGACAGGGAGCCAAGTAAATTTATGTAAAAATTTTAACCAATTATCCAAGGTCTTCTTTTATTCAACAAAAATCCATAAAGAAGCAGAGTTTTGCTATTTGAACAACATATGGAGCACAAAAGTTCTACGTCCAGCCATACAAACTTCTTTTTTTGTTTTTATTTTTTACTTTATTTCAATTTTACTACTCAGTCTGGGATGATATATTTTACTGACTCATAAAAATTTAAAACCCTAATTTTCTTTTATTTATTTTTTTGTGTATTTTTTTTTTTTCAAACTTCAGCTTTGAATGCTGTAACTACAAATCAGGATGCTGCGGCCTGAATGAATCAACATCCCCCCCCCCCGGCCAACGCACACATTAAATGTATCTTTTCACAGCTATTTGGACATTTTTTAAGTTTCTACTTTAAGCTTTAAAGGTGCACTTTAATTAAAACAAAAGTGTATTGCTCCATATTTTGAATTACTTTGTTAAGCGTCAAAAATATAGTCTCTAGAATTGTCTTCGCTACTTGTGTGAAAGTTGTGATGTGTGTGTGATACTGAATTACAAAACATTTTAATTATGGAAACGTGGAAAATTTCTACTAGAATACATGAAAAACAAAACCGGATATTTTTACTTTTAATGCCATCCTAGTATGAGTTCATTTTAAGCCAGTGTATGTAAAAAGAAAATCTTTAAAAATGTATTTAACAATAAAATTAAATTAAACATAAAAGCTTTAAACCGCAGTTTTTTTGCATAATGATCTAATAAATGTATACGTTATTCCACTTTAAATAATTCTTATATTAATGCTTAAAGAAAACCTCTCAAAGATAGGTTGGTGCGTGAACACACACACATTTCCTGCTTTAAAACCATACAGTTGATGCTAAGGGAATATTTGTGTACCAAAGAAATGTTCAGTATGTAAGAAGTCTGCTGCCAACGTCTCGCACATCCATGTAGGAATTTTTATTTTTTTTAAATCAACAGAGGCTTTGCCAGAGCAGTAAAATCTAGAACATCATGTTACTTTTAAGCCTCTGAACGTGAACCGATTCACTCGTTGTCTCTGCTCACAGCTAAAAGTCCTTCCTGACGCAGTTACCTTGACATTGTGTGAAGAGGAAGAAAACGCAGCTATGTTAAACATGTTGGGCAAACGCTGTTGGACAATTATATCCACAAGGTGAGACATTACCGCTTGGCTCCTTTTCATCAGAGCCCAGCTGCTTTTCACCACATTACTTCGGTTAGCATGTCTGGTCAAAAACGAGGGGCATCAACAGAAAAATTAGTGACAAGAGCGTTAAAAACTAAAGCAACTGGACGTTTGGTCAAACTGTGGTGAGCTGCATGGCTTATGCAAGCTGAACTCACATGCAATTCACTCTCCCTTCCCTCGCTTCTAAGGGTCAACAAGAATGGTTGCTTAGAAAGCTGGAACAAAGACATCATCAGGCAGAGTGGATTTTCTGAGTAATTAAGGTTTACTGAAACAACAACAAAGAAAAGGTAAAATGAAGCCATTAGTCATAAAAATGTGTACTTTTGATTGCTTAAACACTCAGCGCCTGCATGTTTTTGAACTCATGAGCTACACAGAAAATGACTCGTATAAAGATTTTTGTATGCGTGTATGCGTTTCGAAGACAAGTTGTATAAACAAAGATAAGAGGACATCTTATCGCAGGCACCGGTTTTTATCACGACACCGTCAGTCTAAATCAAGTCTGGCCACTTTAATGACCTTTGCTGAATTGTTTCGTTATTTAAAACAAGCTTTAAAGCCATGTTCAATTTGACGACCAAAGTGAAACGTTGAACAAAGAGGCGGGAAGTAACGGGAGGAACAGGATGATCAGATAGCTGCCTCTGGCTTTGCAACATTTGCACAAAGATGATGATTTTTAACTAAAAACTTTCCACAATGACCAGTTTCCGACCCAACAAGGCACGGCAGCTCTCGTTTGTTACATCACGACTGTGGATTTTTCCATTCGTTTCATCTGGCAGGTCCATCTCAGAGACGGTGAATGAGCAAATAGAGGATTTTCTATGGAGTCAAGCGTCTTCAAGAGTGTTGCAAATAAATATATAAATATTAAGCACCAGCTCTTAGCCCATGAGCAACATATTCCATGTCCTGAATACTGATCAGGTAATGGATCTGAGCTGATTCTTCTAAACGATGAACCGTGGCACCTTCCATGTAGCTGCAGCCCACAGGTTGAGACCACAAAGATCGGTCTCCTTGGCATCAGTCCTGCATCTTCACTTCTGTGCTCCTCTCAAAGTGAGAAAAAACAAACACTTTCTACACTCAAAGACAGCACGAAATGTCCGTCCATCAGTCCCCGTGTCTTTTAGATTTCACGGATGTCATTTTAGATGTAACTCACGAATGTGAGTGTGTGTCTGAACACAATGTTCCTTCTATTCACAGTTCCCTGCTGGCAAAGTCTGATGGCGTTCACCAATCTTAGACCTTACGTATGAGGCAGCTGCAGTTTTTGGACAAAAGACATAAAGAAAACCCAGGTCCGATTTGGTCAATTTAGCCAAGTTTCTGGCTTAAACTGGGCTAAAACAAGTGGTCTGACTAACTCCCATCAATGATGGTTAGAAATAAGAAAAAAGTTACTGCTCTCATCAGTTTGAGCTTTTATTTTGTCTCCCCATGTGTAAAAACATATACAGCTGTGACACTGAATAAAAGAATCGTTAAAGCACAGGTAAGATGGCATGTGGGCTCCATGTAGCAAAAAACTCAGATGTCCTGCGGAGGAACGCAGGAACAAAACACAATGAGCCAAAGAGAACATCCAGAGAGGCGGCACGCTGTGTATCTGTACATTCTGTTTCACATCCGTACTCTGCTGATTCACACCTAACAAGTGGGGACTCACTGTCTGTGATGACACAAAGAAACGCACAAGGCTTCTTGGTAAGGACCTGGCAGGTTGAGGAAGTTTATGAACATCACTGTTTTGGAAAAGCTGCTATAAAACTATTTAGCTACTTTAGACTTTTGCTTGTGGGAAAATACCTAAAACTTAACTTTCATGTTTCTTCTTGGAAGTTACAGCACCTTTTTTGATTTCTAAGCTTTTAAAAAAAGGTACATTTTTATGAGTGTTTCGCCTACATCTGAACATGTCAGCTGTAATGCTGCTGGAAATGAATCAGCACAGAGTTTAAAGTTATAATTGTAAGAAGTGAAGCTGTAATTTATGAGGAGACACCTAAGCCCTCTGGATGTTCTCACCCACCTCTTCTGGGACCGCAGAGCCAACATCTATCCTAATGCTCAATTACTTTTTTTCTTATTTCCACACACACTCAAATAAACTAATAAAAGGCAAATCGTTAGACAGAGAGCGTACAACAAGTTCTCTTGGACTCTGCCAGGCGTGCAGCACAAAAAGCCGGTCGTGTCATTAACTCAATTAGAAAGTCATCTCAGATAATCAGAAGAATCAAAGACTTACATCTTGAGGTCCGCTTATATAAACCGCTTTCTTCAGCTGGGAATTCACTCACTCCGTGATATAGTTGTTGTTTTTCTTGCTTTATGAGCAAAGCACGCGTCTTCCTAATTCAAGTCTTCTTATCTCAGATCCAGCAGGGTACTAAGTGTTCTGCCCATGTGCTTCTTAAGGCAGCCCTCTTTTTTTTTTTTAAGCCTCCGCTGTCTGTCTGTCTGTCTGCCTGCTCGGTGCTGAAAGTGCCGGTGTGGTCTCTGACTTCAAAATGACACTGTGGACTACACTACTGTCAGAAACCCAGAAAAAAATGACAAGAAGGAGAGAGAGAGGGGAGGGGAGGAGGGGGGCAGAAGAAGAGTTGTGGGAGGGTGTTTAGTGTAAATTTAAGGGCAGGTCTTGGAAAGCAGCCACAAAGTAACACAATGTTCCGGCTCTGTACTGTAGCTGTGCCGCCGCGGCTGCTGCTGATGAGAACACTGTGTTCCAGCAGACACCCTGACCTGTAACCCGTTCCGTGCCAGGCCGGGAACAGCCTGTTCCGCAGCGGGCTGCCCTCCCTCCTCCTCCTCCGTCACCACCACCACCTCGCTCAGCTGACAGCACACATCAACAACAACACGAGCCTGTCTGTCTGCCTGTCTGCCTGTCTGAACGCACACGCTCAAAACACACAGGGGCGTGTGAAGGTCCAAGCGCCGACGGTCGTGAACGCATCATGCGCGAAAAGACGCGCGCTTCGACGGATGTACTGTTTCTGAGACGGACGGTAAAATAAAAAAAATAATAATGATAATAATTAACTCCGCCTTTGCTATATTTTCTTTAAAGTAATTGCTGTGATGTTCGCGACAGAAACTGCGTTATTGCGCAGCTGCTGCAATAGCTATTTTTCTATAGCTGTGTTTTATTTGCGTTATTTATTTATTTATTTTTGTTGTGGAGGTTGCAAGCGAGATATCGCGCAGCAGGAACTATCTTGGTCAAGGTGAGACATAAAGTTATACCTTCCTGATTGACTGTCATTATTTTATTTTTTTATATATTGTTTTATTCCTCCAAGTGACAGACTCTGACAAACAGCTGGATTCAGAGGTTGAAAGTAATTTACTATATTAATATTTTCTTGTCTGTGTTCCTATTTCTTCCACTTGTAAATGTGCTTTAACCTTTACAGCAAATGTTACCAGTTATTTTGGATTATATTCATTTAAGATTTACCCACATTAAAACTTTATTATGAGGAGACATTAATGCAAAAAAGTACATCTGCTTTTAATAGTCTCAGCAATAAAGAAAAAAAAACATTTGAATCCATCAGTTATTATCAGAGGTATTTGCATTTGTTAAATACAGTATAAGGTATATTTACATGCAGAAAAGTGATTTTACACAGTATGTATAAAAAAAAGTTTAAACTTGGTTTACCTTTTACAAGATTGTCTTTCAGATTGTTGGAAAACTTAATGCTTAATATCTTATAAGCACATTTTGCAAGTCAAATCCTAATTTATTTCTGTAAAAAAAAACTTTAAACTGTTCTGCATTATTTATAATGTATGTATTTCTATCAGGAAAACAATAAAGCTGTTGGAAAAGTTTCCAAGTATTTAAGAAAACTGGAAAACTTGGCATGACTTTGAGTCAGCTGTTAAAAATGTGTAAATGCTTCAGGCTCTGATAACCAAACATTGACCTATACCAGCTACGTCTAAAGTTTGCAATTAAATATTAATAATCTCTTCTGACGTGTAAATGTTCCTGCATGTGATAGAAGCTTATTTGAATACATACATAAGAACAGACATCATCTGAAGCAGAGGTTAAACTAGGGTAAAAGCATCAAAGTGGGAACAAATGAATGAACTTTATTGAAGAGTTCTATATATTTTGTGAGGCTTTATAAGTTAAACATAAACCTAGAAAGAAAAGCTTTTACTATAGCTGTTTGAAGTTTCCCTGAAATGAAGATAAGGAAAATGTGCTAAAGGTATTTATAAAAGATGTGACTTGTGTAAATGTTTAGGTTCTTTGTGCTTTACATTTGCATTGAGGTGCATTAGAAAAGACTTTAATAGCTCCTGTTTTTGAGGTCTAATCAATTCTGTTTATTAAAAGAAAGGCAAAGGATTTGATGCAAACGATTAAACTTTTCAGGGAAAAACATAGCAGTATAAAACAGCTAATGAAGGCAGTTGTTTCTAATCTGTATAGTTTAATGTCAGATTGACGTGTGCACTGATTCATTTGAAGAATATTTTTTCCTAAATGTGTGATTTAATAACAGGTTTTGAAATGGTTTGTTTATGTGCAGAAAAACTCATAAAACTTAGCCAGCTGATCGAACTTCATAAAATTATCAGGACTTATTCAAATAAAAGACACGGAACAAAATGTTTTCCCACAGCACAGGTAGCTCATAAAATCACCCTTAATGATCCAAAGTTTCATACTTATGAAGCAAACGTTTGCAGACTGCATGAGAATCCTTAAAATCATGTTCAGGGGTGGGCAATTTTTTTTCCCAGAGGGCCAAATCAAGATATTGAACGCAATCAAAGAACCTTAAAAAATAAATTTCTTTAAAGCAGATAGTCTAGGAGACTTTAAAGGCTTTTTCTTGTTGATAAAAATGTGTCTCCCCACCTTTAAGATGCAAGACTCTCTGTACACTTTGTCTTATGAAAATATCTTTGTTAGCTTAAAAATGCACACACAAATAAACATAAAAAGTAAGTTGACTAAAAAGATGGTTTTAGCCTTTTTTAACTTAAAGGTTTTTGATGTATTAATCCAAGATGCTTAATTTAGATTTCCTTGAATTTCACTGATAAAATTCAAGTTTTCGTCAGCTTATTTAAAAGTTGTTTTCTTTTCAGCTAAGGATATTGGAGGCCAGATAGAGATTGTACAAGGGCCACTTTTAGCCCTCGGGCCATATGTTACCCATGTCTGCTCTTATTGGTGAGTTATTGCTCTCAGTAAGTCCCATCATGGAGGCACTCATCTGCTCTTGCATTGTTTCAGTGGGGAGGATTTATCTTTTCTTTTTTTATGATATGAAACAAAGTTTTTGACCGGGCTGAGAATCTCTGATGAACTTTGAACTTGCAAAGCAATTAAAATTCCCACCAGAGTAATAAAGTTATGAATTTGCAGTCTTACTTGTTGCTTGTTCTACTGATTCTACTGTTCTACTGTCAATATGCAATTTCTAAAATGCAGTGTTATTTATGGTTGCTTTTCTGTTGGTGTATGTCATGTTTTGTTCATTAAAGTGTTATTCTAAAATATATGGTTTCCATTGTGATTGCTTCTTTGTCCACAAGCTAATTTTTATTATTCCGGTGAGACAAAAAGCTGATCTGTAACACTTGAACTGAGATCCTCAGATGGTGTACTGGAGGTTTCTGGTGAGCCCATCCAGTCAGATGCCGTCTGACCACTTTGCTGACAGGCAGCCATCGAGGGGAACATGATGATCCTGTTAATTATAAAGGTGGCATAAGTGAACCTGATTCGGAAAGCCACACAGGGATGTTGTCAACCAGCTGAGTAATCCTCCGACCATCTGGTTCTCGGAAGAAAGCGATATCGCAAACAGGACGTGTCAAGTGTTTTATTCACATTAAAATTAAAAAAGTACAGAAACAGACCGAGTGCGGCATCATGATCTATAAAAAACAACATCCATTACCTCTTCATGCATCATCAGCCCTCTGCAGTTTTCAGAACTAATAATTCACAGTAAAACTGGTCAAACCCTTAAGCTGCTGTGGCTTTTAGTTTTTTTTAACACCTGCTTTGACCTTTTATAGTGTTTAGGAGAGAGGGGATGTACTTTCTAATAAGCATATACTGTATTGTATGAATACATTTGTATAAAAACACGTTTTATTCCTGAAATAATTAAGCATTTTGCTTCTGCTCTGGTAAAACCAGGAACTAGGAAGGAAATGGGAAAACTAGAAAAAGTTCAAGCTTTTAAATCAGCTTTTTTGGTGCATTTTTCATATAAGTGAAACAAACACATTCGTATTTAAAACAATGCAGTTATAAAAATCATGTGCATCATTCCAGCCTACCTGCTCAGCACTTTTTTTTTAAGGAACGTTTTTAGAATTACCCAATAAAGAGTAAGTCCCCCTCATTTTTGTTTGACAACTTTGTCAAATTTTTTTATGTGACAGTAGAAACTGACATGCGGCTGCAAGAAAACGTCTGTCTGAAATGAGAGTCAGTGTAACCAGAAGCACGCGGCTGAGTTCATTCAGGGATAGAGGCTGCACAGTCATCAGGAAGTGAAACAGAACAGAATGTGCTGTACTAATCTGATTGAAAAACACTGCCCTGAGTGGATGTATGAGAAAAGAGAGAGAGATGTTTTATTTAAACAGCTACAAAGAGAACCTATGGCAGCAGGAGGATGTGTACTAAGAAAACAAACTGAGTCTGAACTCTTCATTTGGTGATATCAGAAGTTAAAGGGGGGGGGGGGGGGGCAGGAAGGAAAAGATGTGGGCTGAATGTTAGAGAAGCTGCACACTATGACTCAAATAAAGCTGAGCGGCATAATGCTCTTTGTTTGGGTGCTGGGCGTCCACGTTGCGTACATCGCTGTAATCTCCTGAGTGATCTCTTTTATCCATGACCTTTTGCCCCAATAAAAAAAAAGACAGTAAGAGTTTGTCTGCCAAGTTCCCAAAATAAATGACTGAGAAATGTGGATGGGTAATTTCCAGAGGAGCATTGATTTTTCATCATCTCAGTTTGAAGTTTATGTGTTTGTTTGTTTTTTTTTTTTTTTGTAGTTCGTTGAGTTTACTGGTAATTTCATTTATCACTTAGAAGATGTTTTAGGGTGAGTGTTACAAGTTTAACTGTCGCAGCCATTGCATTAACAGTACCAAGGTAACAAGAAGGAGAGCAGAAATGATCAGAGCTTTAGCAAAAGCTGCAAACATCTTAAATTTAGTCTTGATTGCAAGGATTTTACACACTGCATGCATACGTGAGCATTGACTGTGAATTAAAACATTCAGAAATACATTTCTGGGTCATATTTGCTCCATTTTTTGCGTTATTTGACTCATTCAAGTTGTATTTTGGCCATAATTTTATGATTTTTTTATTTATTTTGTTTTACCACTCGTGAAAGTACACAGACATTAAAAGACAGAAAACATCACTTTTTGTCTGATATGTTGTTAGTATGTTCCTGTGCACAGGTATTTTATTCCACATTTTGGAAAAGCAGGAAAACAAAATGAATGCTTTATTTTGACTTCTGAATAACTCAAACCCTCATGATCACCTCAAAAATCCTTATGGAATAGCTTGTACATATTTGTACATGTACTGCAGTATTTAGTATTTTAATTGTGCCTAGATAGTGCAAGACCTTTATTACCATACAGAAAGATTGAGAAAGTTTTTAAAAGATTTAAAAAAATTGACAAAACACCCCGTTGAACTGTGTTTTTTACATCTATAGGTCTGTTTGCTTGAAAAAAAAAAAAAAATGCTAATGCTTAGTCATTTCATTACATGACCCATGGGTGATTTCCCTACCTTGTCATTATCGCTAGTGTGACTCAGTTTAGAAAGAGAACTCTAAAAGAAATTGTCTTTAATGTTATGAGTGCAGTTGTTGGAATGATGATGACTTGACAGTGGAAAATAAAAAAATAAGAAAAATCAGACTTTCTGCCCTACGCAGGACGGCTCTTCCCTCTAGTTAAAGAAGATTACCATGCATCAAACCATGCAGCAATTTAAAAAAAGAGGCATTTAGTAGCTTAGCACTTTCAGGGATCAAGTCAGCATATTGTCTGTTAAGATTTAAGTAATTGGTGGATAATTAATCTTTCTACAAACAAGAAAAATGAGAAAATTAAGAGGATATGTCAAAACAAAGAAGTAATCAAAAACGTGTTTTACAGTAAGGAGGTATCACACATGGTTCAACAAGTGCAGATTTTTTTTCCCCACTTGGGGAAAAACAGCTAATTACTCATCTTTGTTTAGTGTCTCATGTTCAAATGTGAGGAATGAGTTGTTAGAGCAGATCCATGGTCAGAGGTGAGCAGACACTTCTGCTCAGCTCTTCTCCCACACCCGTGTCACTCTTCTTCATGAATGTGTCTTTGTACATGAAGCGTTCAAAAATTTTCTGCCCGCCCACGTATTCAAGGGGTCGTTTGTGGTGATTCCTGTTGAGCAATACCCCAGTGTGTTGGTTTACCGAAGATCTTATGTAATTTCTAAGTACAGGACAGATGTTTTCCGTGTCAAGTCATTTAAAGGTCAAGCTGATTGCTGTAAGTAACCTGGGTTAGAAAATTTTATAGGAAACTAAATTAATTATTAAAACAGGATTTGAGGTGCATTTAAGAAGAAGAATGTGTAAAATAGTTTGTTTTTTTAATCAAAAACTACAAACTAACGTGTTACTGGCAGCCTTGTTTTTTTTCAATGATTCAGTTATCCGAATACAGTTAAATGCTCTGAAGTTTTTTACGATAAGTCTTGCAAAGTTAATGTTTCAGACATCAAACGCTTCCATCCATCCATCCATTATCTTTCATTTGCTTCTGCTCATCTCTTGACATCCCACTCTTCAGCCACACTCTGCAGCAATGCCAAGGTGTTCCCACAGCAACAAGGACATATCCCTTCATCAGGTTCTGGGTCTTTTCCTGCTGGGAAGTCCCAAAAAAACTCCCCATAGGCCAAGAAGCTTTCTAAACTGATGCTCATACCTCCTCAGCTGACCTATTTTATTGTGGAGGAGAAGCAGCAGCTCCACTTCAAGTTCACCCCAAATAATGAAATTCCTCACCTGGCTGTCTAGGTCACCCTTCAGAGCAAGCACTATAGGTGGGGTTTTGAGTACTCCTGTACAATCCTGATTTGATCTGAATTGTTTTCTGGGGTGTTTGCCCATAGGGTCTCACATAGCAAATTAGTGGGGGGATACAAAAGTGATTTTGAAGACCTGCGGATGATGGAGGAGTGCACTGTACCTCATCCAGACAAGGAAACCACGGAAGTCAGACCTGGGTGTAATTTTTTTCTAATTAATTATTCAGTTACTTAAAAGAATTTTGTAAGAATAGAATTGGCATAAGCTCAATTTTAAATATACATGAACTTCTTCTGGCAGCAAATATGTTTTCTCTTTTGTTTGTTGTTATTATTAATCTTTATTTAGACAGGCAATTCCCATAGAGATCACAGATCGTTTTTTTTTTTGTTTTTTTTTTTTAAATAAAACCTTGGCCTGAAGTCAGCCTAAACATGCATTTTTTTGTTTGTTTGTTTTATTTCTTGGATTGTGGGAGGGAGGAAACTGGAGAAAACCAAGCAAAAGGAGAACATGCAAACTCAAAACAGAAAGACCCCAGACCCAACCCAAGACTTGAACTCTGGACCTCCTTGAAATCAGATATTTTCCTTTTGGCAGCTCCTAAAATGGTTAAAACTGAGTGATAAAAACGTGACATTCGGGTGAGCAACATTTGATCATTCGGAAAGCCAAGTGCAGTTGTTCCCTGGTGGTGCTGCAGGTGGCGGTATTACGAGTCAATGATCATTCGCAGTCCTCGTTAGAAATCGAAGAAGAAGAAGAAGCCGTTGCTCTCCTAGCTTAAAGCTAATAAGCTATCAGCGGTCTCTCGTTGGACCGCGCGGAGATAAATCAACTGTAACATTTTTCTAACATTGTAGCTTAAAATAAGGTGGGTTGTGTTTATCTGCATATTTAACTCAATATTTTCCTTTGAACATTTGTTTATACTTCGGCACTTAGTTATTTTCATACGTCTGAAAGTGATGCTAATTCTGTTAGCCGTTTCATTCTGCGTTCGCATATGAAGTCGAGGGATTGGAAAACTTCTTAAATATGTCGTGTTAGATTAAAATTAGTGACTATTGCAACCAATAATGTTTTCACGATATGTTTATTTGAAATTATTTTTTACGTGGTCGAGTTGTTCAAAACCCTTAAGCTAATAAATCAAATTGTATGATGAGCATCGGTCCAAATCAAATGACTGAACTAGATTTTAGTTTTTCACTTAGACTTAATAAACGGAATATCTGGGGTTCTATAACTCATTAAGAACCTTAAATATAAATATTATTATTATCCCCAAATAAAACAATTGTATACCAAATTTGAGACCTAAATTACAAGAAGATGAGAACTGTTTAAGAAACCATAGTAATAAAGAAACAGCATTTCTCTGGGTATGCTGAATGACCATTTGGCCATAAATAACAAAACTGCATCAAAAATAAAGATTTAACATATCTCAGTGTGGCTGAGTGGTTACAGCAGTCGTCCTCCAATGCGAGAGTTGAGGGTTCGAATCCACCAGCAGTCACTGGGGACTTGGGGACACTTGCCCGAAGTGTCCCTGGGCAAGACACTGAATCCCTCATAGCCTCTGATGTGTGTCCCATCAGTGTATGAATGTGATGTAAAGCACTGATTAGTCTCATTAGAATGATGTGTTCAATTAGCTTTGTAGAGATCTAGTAGAGTGCTGTATGAATGGGTAAATGAGGACACAGATTGTAGTGTAAAGCGCTTTGAGTATCTTGAAATAAGATAGAAAGGTACAGTCCATTTACAGTCCATTTACCAGTGTCGTTAAAATACAAAAAAATAATAGATTGGTTTTTATTTAATAGGGCTAGTTTGTTGTGACTTGGCGATATATAAATAAATGAATTGATTGAATTGAATTGAGAAGGCTAAACTAACGGAAGAAATGTGAAAGCCTGAGTTAACTTATAAAGTAGGATAAAAACTAATTAACTTTTTAGACTACAGAAGAATCGGTTTACTGTCTGTTTTTTTTTTTTTTAGGTTTTTTTTTTCTTCCTCATTTAAGTGCCTTTGTGTCTGTGCCATTTAAGATTTAAATGATTTTTCCTGCCTAATTTTATCAGGGGAGGGGAAGTTTCAAAGGAAATGTTTAACAACTTTTAAAGCAGCATTAATGGGAACTTTGCATTACAGCTAAATTACTTTTAACTTTATTTTGCTGGTTCTAAATAATGAACGTTTGTGTGGTGGATGATGCAACATCTACATAAAGTATCACTGACCAAAGCACTTCTGTAATGAACTCCTCGATCTCCCGTCAAGGCTGTACTGCTTCCTGTTATTCATTTTATCCTTCTTTCATAATATTAGGTTGCATGAGCAAAGTACAGAATGTACTTTTAGCCTAAGTTCCCCACAGTAACACAAAAACTGAACATAATCTTCATATTAACTTAATTATATCATATGAACATAATTTAAGAATAGAACTTCCTGCAATATATAATTATTTGCCCCATATATTATGGGCTGGTAAGTGAATTTGAAGGTGTGCCTATAAGCCAAAGTACTGCAGTTTCTCTTTTTATTGTAATGTTAAAAAACGCACACAAAAATGACAAAATTTATCTTTTTGGTCATTTATGTGAGATCATGTAAATAACAACACTTTATAGAATTTCTGATTGAAAAGGCACTAAACTAATCATTTTTACCATTTGGTTGTTCAGTGAGTCCTAAATTAAGAAAAAGATTAGACTTTTATGATTAAATACGTTAAATTAGGCCATTTATTTACCCTATTCAGAGTTTCAGTTTAGGTTTTGATATTATATTGCTCTTTCTTTTCAGAAATACCTGATTTTTGGACTCCTAACAAGACAAAAGTCATAATGGGAGGTATGAACTTTTGGACCATGAGGGATTCCTCCATGAACTTTTTTTTTTTTTTTTTTTTTTTTTTTGTGGGTGATATTAAGCCATTAAGAGCTTATTGTGTCTTTTCTGTCCAGGTTCAGAATCTGATAATATAGCAGATGACATTCTTAACTGTATGCCATTGAAGTGCATAAAAAGTAACTTTAACTTTTACCCCAAGAAAGTTGCTTGTTGAAGTAACTATCTTGTTTTTTTATTCAATTGTTTTTTATAATGAACAGAAGAATACATATACTGCAGAACAAATATATAATGTTTTCACACATTTATTAATTTAATTCTTCTTTCGGCTTTTCCCTCTTCAGGAGTCTCCACAGCAAGTCATCTTCCTCCGTCTCACTCTGTGTCCTCTGCATCCTCTGTCCTCACTCCAACTGCTTCCATGTCTTCTCTAACTGCATCCATATACAGTATCTCCTTTTTGGTCTTCCTCTTTTGTCTTAAGAGGGGCAGCTGTGGCTGAGTGGTTAGAGCAGTCGTCCTCCAATGCGAGAGTTGGGGGTTCGAATCCACCAGAAGTCACATGCTGAAGTGTCCCTGGGCAAAACACTAAACCCCTCATAGCCTCCGATGTGTGTCCCATCGGTGTTTGAATGCGATAAAGCTCCGATTAGTCTCTTTGGAATGATTTGTTCAATTAGCTTTGTAGAGATCTAGTAGAGTGCTGTGTGGATGGGTAAATGATCACAGATCGTAGTGTAAAGCGCTTTGAGTATCCTGAAATAAGATAGAAAGGCGCTATATAAGTACAGTCCATTTACCATTTATCTTTTTTCTGGCAGCTACATTTCTAACATCCCTTTGCCAATGTACGCACTGTCCCTCCTCTGGACTTGTCCAACAAACCGTCAGTCTGGACTTTATCTCCCAGTTGTTCAACCTGTGCTGTACCTCTGATGATATCATTCCTAAACTTATCCATTCTTGTCACTCCCAAGACGAGCCTCAACATCTTAATTTCTGCCACTTCCAGTTCTTTCTCTTGTCTTTTTGTCAGTGTCACTGTCTCCAGGCCATGCAACTGGCTGGTCTAGCTAGTCTAACTAGCTGGTCTCACCATTGTCTTGTAAACTTTTCCTTTGACCTTTGCTGACATCCTTTTCACGCAAATCACTTCTGAAACTTTTCTCCCTCCACTCCATCCTGCCTGAACTCTCTTTTTCACCTCTTTACCACACTCCCCATTTTCCTGGACAGTGGACACCAAGTACTTGAAGTCCTGCACCTTTGTGACCTCTGCTCTATGTAGCCTCACTGTTCCACCTGCCTCCCTCTCATTCACACACATGCACTCTGTCTTACTACGGTTGATTTTCATTCCTCTTCTTTCAAGTGCATAACTACATTAATTTAAAAATGTTATTTGAGAAGCCCCAAAGGATACAGTGGGGAGAACAAGTATTTGATACACTGTTGATTTTTCAGGTTTTCCCACTTGCAAAGCTTGTAGATGACTGTAATTTTTATCATATGTACTCTTCAAATGTGAGTGATGGAATCTAAAACAAAAATCCAGAAAAATACAATGTATGATTTTTAAATAATTAATTTCCATTTTATTGTGTGAAATAAGTATTTGATACACCAGAAAAATGAAACTTAATATTTGGTACAGAAACCTTTGTTTGCAATTACAGAGATCAGACGTTTCCTGTAGTTCTTGACCAGGTTTGCACACACTGCAGCAGGGATTTTGGCCCACTCCATACAGATCTCCTCCAGAGCCTTCAGGTTTCGGGGCTGTCGCTGGGCCACACGGACTTTAAGCTCCCTCCAAAGATTTTCTATGGGATTCAGGTCTGGAGACTGGCTAGGCCACTCCAGGACCTTAAGATGTTTCCTACGGAGCCACTCTTTAGTTGCCCTGGCTGTGTGTTTTGGGTCGTTATCATGCTGGAAGACCAAGCCACGACCCATCTTCAGTGCTCTTACTGAGGGAAGGAGGTTGTTGGCCAAAATCTCACGATACATGGCCCCATCCATCCTTCCCACAATATGGTGCAGTCGTCCTGTCCCCTTTGCAGAAAAGCATCCCCAAAGAATGATGTTTCCACCGCCATGCTTCACGGTTGGGATGGTGTTCTTGGGGTTGTACTCATCATTCTTCTTCCTCCAAACGTGACGAGTGGAGTTTAAACCAAAAAGTTCTATTTTTGTCTCATCAGACCACATGACCTTCTCCCATTCCTCCTCTGGATCATTCAGATGGTCATTTGCACACTTCAGACGGGCTTTGACATGCTTTGGCTTGAGGAAGGGCACCTTGCGTGCACTGCAGGATTTTAATCCTTGACAGCGTAGAGTGTTACTGATTGTTTTCTTTGAGACTGTGGTCCCAGCTCTATTCAGGTCATTGACCAGGTCCTGCCGTGTAGTTCTGGGCTCATTCCTCACCTTCCTCAAGATCAATGATGCTCCACGATGTGAGATCTTGCATGGCGCCCCAGACCGAGGGAGATTTTCCGTTATTTTGTATTTCTTCCATTTTCTAATAATTGCACCAACTGTTGTTGCCTTCTCACCAAGCTGCTTGCCTATTGTCCTGTAGCCCATCCCAGCCTTGTGCAGGTCTACAATTTTATTCCTGATGTCCTTACACAGCTCTCTGGTCTTGGGAATTGTGGAGATGCTGGAGTCTGATTGATTGAGTGTGTGGACAGGTGTCTTTTATACAGGTCACGAGTCCAAACAGGTGCTGTTAATACAGGTAATGGGTGGAGAACAGGAGGGCTTCTTAAAGAAGAACTAACATGTCTGTGAGAGCCAAAAGTCTTACTGGTTGATAGATGATCAAATACTTATTTCACACAATAAAATGGAAATTAATTATTTAAAAATCATACATTGTATTTTTCTGGATTTTTGTTTTAGATTCCATCACTCACAGTTGAAGAGTACCTATGATAAAAATTACAGTCATCTACAAACTTTGCAAGTGGGAAAACCTGAAAAATCAACAGTGTATCAAATACTTGTTCTCCCCACTGTATATTGCATTGAAAAAGGCAGTCTGGCAACTCCTTCACTCCACCCCAGGCCAGATGAACGTAAGGCGAATGCTGTAACCACATGCTTTAATTGTGAAATTTTAGTTGTCTAAAGCAACATTCTTCTTTAGAAAAAAATATCAATAAAGTTGTCAACATTACTGGAACAATCATCTCTTACCTCACACTGTTGATGAAATGAGAAGAGCCACAAGAAATGTATACAGTTAGCATGGATTAAAGTTCTTCGTCACTCCAACTGATTTCCGTCATTTTGAAAGTGGCCAGGACAGATTTCCGTCATCTGCAAAAATGAGGAGGAGGCAAACAACTTTTTTGTTTGTTTTTGTTTTTTGTGGTCCTGGGAAAGCCATACAACTTAATGATAATACAGGAATTAAACTGATGCTGCTTTCAACCAATAAAGTGAACCAGAGCCACAATTTGACCTAATCGGGGCAGAGCAGGACCGTGTCGTGGTTCACGGTGAGCAGCAGTGAGAAACTATATGTAGGATATGTAGGATCTCACCTGCAGCAAGCCAAGGAGGACACCCCACTACCCTAACAGAACTGCCTGCCCCTTCATGTATGATGTATTAAACTATTAAATGTCTATGTATTAAATGTGTGTTCGCACATGACCAATTCACTGCAGCCAGGCAAGATACCAGAACTGCTAAACCATCACCCCACTCTCTCCTCCAACACTGTGCCCCAACCTCCCTGGGACTTTTGTATCTAAAATTGAACTTCGTATTAAATGGTAATGTGTTTGGGGCAACATCATCATCATCATCGTACAGACGTGCAACTGCGCACGTGACCAAACTCCAGATCCATGAGAGAAAGGCTTGCACTGCTTTGGGTAGTACACAGCTTGTTGAGTTTCTCACAGTGAGAGAGGCTGTTTTGGCAGCTTTAGTTTTTCTAAATAAATATTAACCCTACAAGAATAATATTTATGCCCCAGGTTATAGCAAAGATGTGTGTCTCCGTTTAACTTTAATTTCCCCCCAAACTCACAAAGTTTTCTCTGAGTCAGTTTCAGGTATTTGTAGTTTATCATAAATATCTAAAATTCATTTCTACATGGTATAGCATTAACGAGGTGTTGTAACTGTTTGGATATGCTACACTTGATTATATTTAGAAACATACTGAGAGGCAACTGTACTGTGATAAATGTAATTTAACAAATGAACAAATGTGAAAAATAAATGGTATTAAATAACTACATGAGCTGAAATCTGTAAATATAATTCTAATGAATGAAATAGTGAATTCCAGGGAGAAAACTGTCAGTCTGGCAAAAAAAATAAAGGTAATTTATACCCTGCAAAGGACATGCTGTGCAATAATTTATTGAAATACATCTGACAACCCTGAAATGACACACAAGTAAACTACAGAAAATTTGTTCAAAGCCCCTCTCCATTCAGAAGAATGATGTAGGTCTAAATGATGCAGGTTAAAATCTTCTTACAACTTAAATGCTTCATTAGAGAACATGTTTTTGTATTGAACGTTTTTTGAATTCATTAGAGAACACTGTACACTGTGTACTTTTACTAAGATCATGAACACAGTATACTCTTTACATGAAATTCTTTGAGAAGTGACCTGTATGCAGGAAAAAGCTCTCCAATGTGTAGTATTGGGGCTGTGGGGAGTGCTTGGTAACATCGAGGTGTAGGAATAAATTTAAATTCAACATATTTTTTCTGCTTTAATTCCTTAAGTATTAGTCAAAGCACTTATTATTTTTTTATTTATTGACCTTTTATTTAACCAGGCAAACCTCATTGCGATCACAGATCTCTATTGCAAGAGGGGCCTGGACCTTAGGGCAACCTAACATGTATAGTTTTGGATGGTGGGAGTAAACTGGAGTACCTGGAGAAAACCAATGCAAACACAAGAACATGTAAACTGCACAGAAAGACCCCAGGTCTAAACTGGGAATTGAACCCAGGACTTTCTTGCTGTGAGGCAACAATGCTAACTACTAAGCAGCTGTTATTTTGAAGTAGATGCAGTTAGAGGAAACGTGTTTTGAATTGTTTAAGTGCAACAAGAACAGAAAAGACAAAACTGATTTTGTTATTTATATTTCATATTTGATTTTACCTATGTTCTCTTCAGATCCTGCTTTTCATCGAGACTGTCCCCTTGACTGCAAGGTTTATGTGGGGAATCTTGGAAACAATGGAAATAAGACAGAATTGGAAAGAGCTTTTGGATACTACGGCCCTTTAAGAAATGTCTGGGTTGCCAGGAATCCACCTGGTTTTGCTTTCGTGGAGTTTGAAGACCCTAGAGATGCAACTGATGCTGTAAGAGAACTGGATGGCAGGTAATAGACCCATAGTTTTCTTTTTTACTTTAGAAATATGTAGAAAAATCATGACCCATCCCTTGTCTCTTCAAATTTTGCTTCAAAGAAGCAAGACTTTCCCATAATCTTTCAAAGTGAGCAATATACTTCAGTCCTCACATGTTTTTGGTCAAAAATCTTGTGGGCATTTGTAATTTTTAAATATGTATTTATATATATATATTTTTTTTTTCTTCTTTCGGCTGCTCCCTTCTTCAGGGGTCGCCACAGCAAACTAAGTCACATGAAGTAATTGTACTTTTTAAATATAAATATATATATTTTTATTTATATATTTTTTTACTATTTTAATAGTCTTCACATCTGACCACTTCCTGCTATCTGTTTTTACAACTAGGCAAATGAGGAACAGTTTAAATTTTAATTTGTTACTAACCAACTAGCATGCATGTCCAAATTACCAAGTTAACATTTTTACTGGTATAAGATTGGATTTTAGCACAGGTGTTACCAAAACGACTACTAAAATTAAAATGGGTGAAAAAGCAGCTAGTGGAACAATAATTGTGTTTCTGATTTGTATGGAAAATTTTGTTTAGAACCATGTGTGGCTGTCGAGTGCGTGTTGAGTTATCGACCGGGGAAAAGCGCTCAAGGAGCCGAGGTCCTCCTCCATCATGGAGTAGACGCCCTCGGGATGATTTTAGGCGTCGTAGTCCTCCAGTCAGACGCAGGTATGTAATTCTTACATGACCATTTTAATTTTTCTGATTTCAAAACAACTAAATATGTATTGTTTGATAAAATGACTTGTTAGCTGCATACTTTAAGACATTTAATCATTGACATTATTTACATTGACAGAACAATTTTCGGCCCACCAAATTTTTATTTTGGCAAAATGTGTCTTCACAATTCAAACCTACCTAAATTTGTCAAACTAGTCAGGTAGTCTCTTGTAGATCTAAATAAAATTTGTACTCTTAGAGCTCAGGATTACATAAGAAAACTTAATATTTTAAGCCATCAGCGCACAGGCTGTAGTAATAGTTCATGACTTTTTAAAGTCTGTCAAATACATACATATTGAACATGCATCAGGATAGCTGTCAAATACAAGTTTTTTTGATAATCTTACAGTCCCATATATAAGATATTTAAGGCCATATTTACAAAAGATCTTGCCTGCAACAAAAACTTTGACCTAGATTCTGTAAAAATTGTTTTAAAGTTCTTCATTGCAGTAATTTTCTGAAAGGTTTGTAAAAACAGGAATTGTTTAAAACATTTAACTAGTTGTTAGGAAGTACTATTTTCTAGGAGTAATTTAAGTTAGTTAAACTATTTTCTGTGCTTTTTATTTTTCTTCTTAGCAGACTCTCCCTACTTGACCTCCCATAGTTTAGCTTGAGCACGTTTCGTTAATATGGCCTGTGATTCTAAATGAATTGGACTGGTACAACTTGCATTTTGCTCATAATTTTCCGTTCAGTTAATTTTTTGTCAATGCAAAGTTTGTATCAAAGTCCAAATATATATATATATATATATAT